ATAGGGAGGAGCTCCGTGAGCTCACCCACTAGTTAAGATTACGCTGATATGGTCTCTCTAGACCATCAGCTTAGGTAGAAAAAAAGCTTGGAACACAAGGTCAAAATCTCTATTGTAATGCACCATAATTGTTCGGCCCCTTAACCAGAATATCCGAACTCGTCACAGAAACAGGCAGGATGGTGGTACATACCCGAATAGGTTTTCTAATATGCCCTACCACCAGTCAACGTCATTCGCAATACGCCCAAAGAATGCCCATTGTCTGGTCTGGTGAATCCCATTTTCGTTTTTAGGGACACCTACGGAATGAAATGGGAGTGGTGTTATTGTAGACTGACATCACACAGTAGTTCGAAATATTCATTATATATCGGACTTTCTGAGGTTTTCACATATATTTTTGGGTTTTAAATACCTTTACTCTATAATGGTGAATTCTATAAAATATTCTCAAGATTAGAATTAAAAACAAAAAGTTTGAAAATCTGCACTAATCAGATTAATGTAATTTCAAAATCACTTAGATTATGTAAACGTGAAACGATAGTAAATTGAAGTCAAAATTTAAGAAAAATTGAAAGGTTTCAATAAATCGCCATCGCAAGTTTAATTGTACCAAAAACTTTTACTAAGTCCTCAGAATTTTATCTCACTTTTTGCAACTTCTCAGAACAGTCTTAAGTTCCTTCAGATCAACTGTAACCAGATAACAGCCACAATTTAGTTGTATTTTGACCACTGTTTTTCCTCTCAGCTATTGCTCGTCCTTTACATCTTAGACAGACAGTTCAGTACGTCCAAAATTTATGTCCATATTAAATCTAAGTCATATTCTGAAGTTTTCATAATAAAATATTAATTTTCTTATTTACGTATCTGCGCAGATGTACAATTGGAATTTTTATTTTAGCTCATAACTTTCCTTCCAAAGGCAATCATGCCAATCAGCATACGTTTTTTTTACGTCAAATCAAAATGTGCCATAGCTTTTAATTTGTGGATCTATCTCGCCAAGGGTCTATCCCTTGCAGCATCTTGAACCGCAGGAAACAATCTACAATTGGTGTTGTCGCCGTCAATTCAATGATGAGCCCGCGCCCGGACGTCGGTCAATGATTCCCGACCGTAGTTGGCGCCATTCGGCTCGCCTTTTGTTTTCATCATATCATATGAGTCACACGATGCAACGATAGCCTTGTGGACTTAAAAATAGATACGTGAACTGAAGCCACTGCTATTCCTGGTCGATAATCTAACCTAATTTGTACTGGCGTCATTGGGCGGATAAGCCTTGATAAAAGTCAAAGCCTAGGAATTTTCTTAGCTCAAGGTCCGATGTAAAAAACATTAACTTCAGAATCTCGTTCTTAAAAATGTTTCTTAACAAATTTAAAAACAGTTTAAGTATTTTTTTCAGTCACCGTCATTATTTATCCAATGTAATATTACATTACATTTATTATTTGCCAATTCTGAGATCGTAGAATTTAATGCTTTAAACTCTATGACTTACAAGATAAAATGGACCTTTAACTTTGCGTTATATCTTATCCAATTTAAATCACATCGCACACATCCCTTTATCTCAGATACGATTAACCCAATAAAATTTAACGCAATGATTCGATGATTGAAACCAATCATATCATAAGTCAAGTTGTCTCGTGGACCGCGAGGGAGCCGGCTCTCTGGCGCCACCGAATCGGTCTCTTCCTCTAGGATGCTGCACTGATTGCCCTTGCTCTTATTGTTTCTATCCTGTCCTTTTATTTGGGACTTTGTTCTTGTTACTTTAAAGTTTCCATTGAATTATTTCACCAAAGTCCCTATCTCTAAATCTTCATTTTTTTAATAAGCAGCATTTACTATATATTACAATGCCTAATTTCTTTGCAAAAAATCTGATTTTTGAGCAATCACCGGAAACCCAAAATGCTGCACTGATTGCCCTTGCTCTTATTGTTTCTATCCTGTCCTTTTATTTGGGACTTTGTTCTTGTTACTTTAAAGTTTCCATTGAATTCTTTCACCAACATTTCTATCTCAAACTTTTAATTTTTTTAATAAGCAGCATATACTATATTTTACAATGCCTAATTTCTTTGCAAAAAACCTGATGTTTGAGCAATCACCGGAATCCCAAAACGGATTCTGAAATTGTGGTCCTATGTTGAATTTGAATACTAGTTTAGTTTGTCAATAGTTTTGCAGCTCACCATCATATCTAATCTATTGAAACGGTCAGCCCAAAATTGGCAAGCCGGGGCATAAAATTGGTTAGATAAATTACTGTCAGAAAGACGGTGAAAATAATCATATTAACAATTACCGTGCAGTAGCGGAATATTGCGAAAAATAATGAGACGGTCTATAAAGCTGTATTATGTTTTTACAAAAGATTATTTGGAACTACTTTCAGAATTTATGCCCGCCTTTCCACGCTAGTTATTATTTGCACTCTGAAGGACTCCACTAAAATGATCTACTACTGGAATATTCCGTTCATTAGTAATTTATGTTTAGTAATTGTGACCTTTATTGTACCTTTTATTAGATAATTATAGCTGTTTAATTGCGTTAACAAAAACTTATCAGGTATGAAGTCTCAGAGTCTCTTGTGCTTATGTATCTAATACACGAAGTCTGAGGTTTAAAAATAGATCATTATTTATTTTCCAATAGCTTCAAAGGATGAGGTTACGGTATTTTAAAAAAAACCAACTAATTTCTCTTCTCTTAATTGCTTTTCTTTCAGTTCATTCATAGGTTATCCAACGTCCCTTTCATGTATTTTCATTTCTTACGGTTTTTGTTTTCTCTTAGATGGTTTTTATTTTATTTCGTTCTATATTCCTATCCTATCCCATGATTGACCTACTTGTGGTACAACGAATTCTAAGCGAATTTTTTTTAACAAAAATGCTTCTTTAAGAACCTAGTAGCACATTTAATTAAGTAATCTAAACGAATTTATCAAAGATAGAATCAAAAAATTACAAGTGATAATGACATCATTTTATTAGTATTATCTTGCTTTAAAACAATCAATATTTTTTTAATATCTTGTAACTGCAGTTGTGATTACCCAAATACATGTAACGATAAGACGATTATCAGTATTGTATTTATGTTGGGTAATTGTTTTTGGAAGTAAAAATTGGAAAAAGATATTTTTCAACAGGATCTTTGCTCTATTCGTGTTGTATGTGCATCAGCTGCGGTCTCCAAAAACCGAACATTGTGAATATCGTCACTAAGTCGAAATAGGAGGCGAAATCTTAACTGTAATACCGTTATCTCGAATTTATACTGTGCCCTACCAGGATACAGTATTTTCTGCACGTTCGCGCATATCTGAAATAGTACTTTAGGCTACCAGCAAATATAAAGAATAAAAATGCCATTTACCACAGTATTTGCAACCTTATAAGTGGGCAAGGTAGAAGGGAAAAGACCCGCCGGCCGGCCACCAAACCGTGTTGGTTGGATCAGATAACTGCACTCACTGGACTCTCTGTTGCGAACGCCCTGAGAGAAGCCGAAAACCGAAGCAAATGGAAGCTGGGGGTACAAAGAACCACGAAGGGCTTTCAAGGACACGACCTTCACAGCAATGAAGTATTCGACTAAGAAGAAGAAGAAGAAGAAGTACAAATGTATAGGTAGCAAGTGTGTTGTGTAGTCGTCTCTCCAATAATGTCAGTAAAAACTTTCCAACTTGACATACCTAACTAACATAAGACATAAATGAAATTTAATTCACTGATGGGCGCTAGCGACCGTATAATTGTTCTAGGTTGAGATTAATAAGGAAGTGCCCTATAAAATAATATGAATGAACTTAAAATTAACACAGCTGTCCGAATACACGATTTACAATTTTAACACAAATAATATTGGCTTGGTCTGTTACTATATTTATTTATCACCGAATGTTTAGATTGGATTTTCCTTTGTGATTTATCTATATATTAATTAATACGTGAAGCAAAATCTTTGTATCCCTTTTTACCAAAATTGCGCGGACGGAGGAGTATGAATTTTTCCACACTTATAGAAAATATAGAGAAGAAGTGCACAATGCTAATATTTTTTTTAAATAATGCATAAAAGATACATTAAATCAATAAGAAAACATTACACACACTACATACCATGTATTTGACGCACACACGCATGCATACTACATATATTTATTGCCAACTTTTGTTCTTGACGTCTGTTGTCAAATTGAGAATAGATTAAATATTGTTTGTCTTTGTTAATATGTACTTTTTATAGTGTAATCTTGGCGAAATTTGTGATTATATAAGTATAAAATACAATCATTATAGTGTACAAACTTACAATTCCAATTAATTATAGTCGAATTTCGACTACTGCGGGACCACTAGTCTGTTTTATTTACTGCTTTACAATTTGACACTTATAGTTTCTTTGCATGTGCGGTAGAAGTACCTGAAATGATTTGTGTAGATCGTAGATATCATTAAACTGCAAATGAAAAGATGTTTGTTTAAGTTTCATGTATGGACGGTGCAACAAATTTTTTATTGGAAAGATATTTTGGGTCATAGTGTAGTGTGAAAATTGATTCATTTACCTACGTGTAACAGCGAGGTAATTGAAGTGATTTTTATATAAATGATTTTTATATAAATGAATCAATAATGATTAATAATTAATATCGTTCTCTTTCTGTTGGGTGACTTTTTTTTTATTGCCCTTGTAGGCAGACGAGCATACGGCCCACCTGATGGTGAGTGGTTACCGTCGCCCATGGACTTCAGCAATGCCAGGGGCAGAGCCAAGCCGCTGCCTACCGCTGCCTACCGCTGGGGTCTATGATGTACCCTTCATCGAAATGAACACATTTATAACATTTGCTACTGGATGGTACTAAATCACGGACATAAGCACTATTTTATCGAATTAAGAACAGTTTCTTCACATTTCGATAATAATTTTCGTACATTAACAAAACTTTTTTTTAACAGGATTATCAGCCAGCGAAGCCCTCCGCAACGGTCTCTGTCAGTCTTTGTGGAGTGCATCGGTCAGCAGACCCGAACCGAGGGTCGCGTCGCTACCGCCGGCTCAGAACCTTGACACTTACTCTAGAGGTATGTTTTATTTTAATTAGATTGATTTATATTGTAGAATCTAGGTAGTTCTTCGGCAGAATTTTCTTTAATCGTTGCTTCAGCCTCATTTTCGAAACAGCAAGGTCCATTATATTTGTTAACGTAGCTCCGAGGTGGAAGTGGGTCACACTCAAGATGATCCTTTCAATCTTTTTAAGAACCCAATCAGCAAATATATGACACTTTTTTTTCCTACCTAAGCTGACAGCCTTGAGAGACTATTTCAGCGTAACCGTAAGTAGGTGAGCTCACGGGGCTCAAACCGGAGTGATGCTAACACTGACCCTAGCAAGAGCAGTGCTTCGCAGACTCTACCACCGGATCGGAAACGCGACCCACTGAGAAGATCCGGCGAGAAACTCAGTATGTTGTGTCTAAGGGGCTTTAAAAGCCACAAGGCTTAAGTCTTTATGCAAAATACGGGGTAATATTATTTGGATATTGCCCGATTTCAAAGATCAACGAGAATTGGACAATCCTGTGTTTACCTCAACACCATTGTCTACAACAGCAATATTCTTAGTTACTTTTGAGCGTAGTGCACGAGTTTGATTCTTCAAATCACAAAATTGTTCCACCAGTTTCACAACTGCTAACCGAGAAGGTGGTTCACGACAATCCAAATAATGCTATAGTTTTTCGTTCTTTGATTGTGAAATTTTCACCATTTTTTTAGTGAATTTTAATAATTACGATGCGTTTTTGAAGCATATATCGGTTTAATTTTAATCGTATTTTTCATGTACAAAAACCTATTATAGCTCCACTGAATCGTCACCACTAGACTTGCACTGAGCGAGACTAAGTAAGTTAAGCGATTCTATTGATTCTTAACAAACACATCCCTCGCTACCCATCCTCACATATCTTTGGTAGAAATGCAGCCTTAATAGCGTAGTTTTTACTTATCATCTCTCAAGTAGTGACAGCTACACTCATGTTAACAATTGAAATGAATGGGCTATTCAAAATGAAACGCCTTATTGGAACACCCCATAGTTATTGTTTTTTTTATTGCTTATATGCGTGGACGAGCTCACAGCATGGTGTTAAGTGGTTACTGGAGCCCATAGACATCTACGACGTAAATGCGCCACGCACCTTGAGATATCAGTTCTAAGGTGACAAGTATAGTTACAACGGCTACCCCGCCCTTCAAATCGAAACGCATTACTGCTTCACGGCAGAAATAGGCAGGTTGGCGGTGCCTACCCGCGCGGACTCACAAGAGGTCCTACCACCAGTAAACAAGAGGTCCTACTATCAGTAGAGTTACATTAGCCGATCGCCTCCGCCTTTCAACTTCTTTTAATAATGAGTGCACGTGCACTTCATATATCAAAATTCCAATAACACTGCGTTTCGGCAAATCCCACGGATTCAGATTTCGGCATGACATATCTTATCGGGCCGCCCGTCAGCGTTATCAGGCACCAAAATTACATTTGTTTTACAACTTTGATTTGCGCCGGCAAACGACAAAGCTATATCGATAACGCCGATAAGTTCACAATATTTATCGACACTTTAACTCTACGTGTTATGGCCGTTGTAATTTTTGTGTTGAACACGAATTTTTTTTTCGATAAACGTACCGTTGGCAGAGAAATTAAAATTGTTATTTATGACGGGTCAGTTTCGGGGGATTAGCGGCTTAGTTCGGTATTACCGTTTTGTGGATCATGGGCATTATTTATTAGTTCTTATTCTAATATGTGCTACGTGTCTGAAAGGTAATTTGATTAATTAATTGCTGTTGAAATGGACCAATATAACTGACTTTATGATGATGTTTAATATCTAAACAAAATTAAAATACAAATTAAATCATTAAGAAAAAGCTTAATACTAACATTAAAATGAAATGCGTCAATGACTATACATAGTTTTTCTATGGGCTTAATATCACATGTGCCCGCTTTTCCTTCAACTATTCAGTAATATAGCATATTATAAATATACATAGAATAATCTTTTCAATAACTTCCATCCTCTTCTGAGTCGATCTCTTCATTGCTGAAGGTCGTATCTAGTAATTTTAACTAGTTTAGTAATTTCACTAAACTATATCCGACATATCTGTATTTGATATTGTCATTAAAAAAATATTCGAATATGTACGTACACTAATTTTTATCATCACGCACTTCTTTATTATTATAAACTGGAAAAGTACATGGTTGTAGTACAATAAATCACCTATAGCCAATGTTAATGATGCATATAAGGATTTAGTCGGACCTAAATAATAGTATCTCTTTTTTTAATAACAGTAAAATTCCTAGAAGTATTTCTTTTTATGTCAACGTTATGTTCCACAAGCAGGATGGGACGTTGTAAATCCGATTCAGACATGTGTACCTTACCGAGTAAGTAAATATTAATGTTGAAGATAACACGCGGTCTCTCTGTTTGGGATGAATGAATCTACATTCGTCAAAATGTGACAACTAAACTTTAAATTTAACAATGTACCTACGCCTTTGCGGAACATGATTGTTCTATTATAACTGCAATTACAGCAGAAGGCTTGTCTTTGTCTGCACCTCCGGCATTACTGATGATACCTATTTATGTTCATCTTGCCGCGAATATTACATGCGTGCCGGTTTTAAGTTCTTACAATACAGTTTGAGACTCTATTCTTATTAATCATATATGTATATATTATTCTTATATTCTTATTTACTGGTGGTACGACCTCTTGTGAGTCCGCACGGGTAGGTACCACCGCCCTACCTATTTCTGCCGTGAAGCAGTAATGCGTTTCGGTTTGAACGGTGGGGCAGCCGTTGTAACTATACTAAGACCGTAGAACTTATATCTCAAGGTGGGTGGTGCATTTACGTTGTAGATGTCGATGGGTTCCAGTAACCACTTAACACCAGTTGGTCTGTGACCTCGTCCACCCATCTAAGCAATAAAAAAATAAAAATTTATAATTTATTGCACACAGATAAATTGAATCGGTTTCCTTAGACGTGTTTTCTTCAACTTCTCAAGGCATGCGTTCTATATGTCAGAATGAAAACTGTCATCCATCTTGGGACTTGAAGTAGAAGTTTCAATAGCATTATATACCTACTACCACACTCTTCAAACTTTGAAGAAGTTTTCAGTACATATACAACGAATTATATATACCATAAATCGGTGAAATACAACCGATAAGATAATATGTAATAATACAGTATTAAAGTAATTGACGTAGTGTATATTAAAACGGAAATCGACATGTCTACAAATCGATAGATTTAATTACATTGTTACAATTCGAGAATTTTCATTTTAGCAACAACGATCCAAACACATATATCGGATAACCGGATATTCCGTTTTATTTTATGTTATTTTATTTGATTTTTGGGAGTCGTAGTAATTATATCTATATAATTAAAACAGCTTTTAAGATTTAATCTCCCATTTTTATTAGTAACAATTCTAAGTAGCCTTATTGGTTCCTGCAAAGTATTTGATACGTCGGATATAACATGAATGAAAATAAAACGTCAGACTGGTGGTAGGACGTCTTGTGAGCCTGCCTGAGCATGTACCCTGCCTATTTCTGCCGTGAAGCAGTAATGCGTTTCGGTTTGAAGGGTGGGGCAGGCCTTGTATCTATACTGATACCTTAGAACTCATATCTCAAGGTGGGTGGCGCTATTTACGTTGTGGATATCTATCGGCTCCGGGAACCACTAAACGCCAGGTGGGCCGTGAGCTCGCCTACACATCTAACAAAAAAAATAGGCCATAAAAATACTTTCATTTGCAGTTTTTATTATCCTTCCGTTACAATCTTAATTCTACAACGCGATCAATCAAAGGGTAAGTTTTGTGCGAGCCAAACCGGTCAATATTTACCATCAAGCCTGCACGGCACACTATTGTTTACCCTATTATTCACGACTCTGTTTGACCAAGTCCGGTCAGTTCTGAACAAATAAGACTAGCCAGGGTTGCAATACAGGTCTTTAGATTTTCATTCGGAAAACCTCTAATTGATTTTCCGAATCTTACAGGTAAATCTTTTGTCTTGTTTGTCTTTGAAGTGAAAACTTCTTTAGCACCCCTAAACTTTGAAACAGTGTAATGAAACAGCGACACTAAAAAGAGACAAACATCTATAGGAATAAGCATGCATAACATTACTTCTGAAGTTGACGTCGTCCAAAATACGTCATTACCGATTCTCCCGATCCATTAACGGTGATTTTACCACAAGCACCGGTTACCGTCCTCGTTGAACCCCTCGTTTACGGCGAAGGCCTCAACAAGCGAATTAACCCATAGACACATCCCAATGAGTTTCTCGCCGGATCTTCTCAGTGGGTCGCGTTTCCGATCCGGTGGTAGATTGTGCAAAGCACTGCTCTTGCTAGGGCCAGTGTTAGTAACACTCCGGTTTGAGCCCCGTGAGCTCACCTACATGTTAGGGCGAAGCTGAAATAGCCTCTCAAGGCTATCAGCATAGGTAGGAAAAAAAAGAAGAACTCACTTTTTTTTTCTCCCCTAATGAGCTAAAGTCCTACTTGGTCTAAAATGAGAGAGCTAATGAAGCTAGAGTCTCAATTACATTAGGTATATGACGACTATCCTATTTAAGTTGATATAATACTGAGACCTTAGAACTTATATCTCAAGTTGGGTGGTGCAGTTACGTTGTAGATGTCTATGAGTTCCAGTAACCACTTAACACCAGGTGCACTGTGAGCTCGCCCACCCATCTAAGCAACAAAAAAATTAAAAAAAGTTGAAGTGCATTATTTCTTTGTAACGAAGAAGCTGAGAGATGATAGCTACCCGTGCGGATAACACTACACTCTACTGTGTTACGCATAGACTTATTCTTTGATATAAATGCGTAGAAAAACTCACGGCCCGCTTGGCAGTGAGCACTCATGAATGCCACAACGCTAAAACCGCCACTTATCTGGAGAGGTCGAAGTCTATGCTGTAGTAGTGTGACTAACGGATGA